TAATCTATTATCAATAATCGAAGCTGCTTTTGATTGACAGTTTGTAATTGAAATAATACATATTCACGTGTTAAATAATTAAACGACTTTATATATGGTTCAATACGCTCTGTTCACTGTTCAATAGCTTATCCGCTTCGAAGCATTTATGCTGTCTGGAACAACGAAAAACAAAAGTTTATTTTGTTCATACGTCATTGAATTTCCAAGTAAACGAGGGCCGTTCGAAAAATTATGGCAATGGTCTGTTTCTCTTACGCGTATTAAAATCAATATAAACAGAACTAATTATCCTGTCAAATGACTTAAAAGTCACAAAATTCCCAAGCAATTTGAAATTATTTGTAGTTGAAAGCATAAAAGACATCACACTTTCTAAAAATTTACTTTAACGAGCAGAGTACGTGCTATGTGAAACTCGAACCGCTAGGCATTGTTGTCGCAATAGAAAAGTGTATGCGAACCTCTTACTGCCGTATTATATCCAGATAGTACCAGATGATACCAGTTTTCGTGGAAGTTAATATTTACAATTTAGATCTTAAAAAATAGAAAAAACAATAAAATAGAGAAAATAAAAATCCCTTAAGAAAGCCCAAAACTGCAAAATTGAAAATGCTGCAGATTCGGTTTGATTGAGCCTGTGCATAAACGGTACTGTCAAGCGCAAACTACCGTCCACGCCTCATAGAACTGGCTTCAGCAGAATTCAACATTTTAACATGAAATGGTTAAATTTGGAACTCAGAAACATCCGCAAGTGTGTTCATACGGCAGTCTTCATAGAACATTCAATGTGACACTTCCGTGCCATTCCATGAAAAGCGGCGTATGGTCCCCAGGTAACAGAAAGCATTGTATTAAATTGTCTTTCAATAATATAAATCTTCCACATATTTTATTTACGTAGATAAAATTATTTTCAAACTGATTTTATAGTTTACGGTCGTGGAACCACGCCATTTTTATTCAAGGTCGTTGAACCACACCATTCATGAAACCACGCTATTCAAAGTTACGGTCGTGGAGCCACACTATCCATATTTATGCCATGAACCACATCATTCTAATTCACAGTCGTGGAACCGCACCATTCTTATTCACGGTCGTGGACCCACACTATTCTTTTTCACGGCGGTGGAACCACATAATTCTTATTCACAGTCGTGGATTCACACTATTTTTCACATTTGTGGAACCACACCATTCTTATTCAAGGTAATGGAACACCACACCATCTTGGAATCACACCATTCTTATTAACGGTAATGGAACATCACACCAACGTGGAATCACACCATTCTTATTGCACAGACTGGTGTTCTAGAAGATTTACTAACCCTATATATATGGACCACCCAGGGTCCTGACTCTGGTATCTAGCCTGCAAAATGTGTGATTTTTATTTATGTATGAGTTTACATAAATATCGCAAATTTAGATTTTTCAGTGAGGGTCATATAATTTTGTAACTTCTAAAATCATATAATGTAATGTAGATTTTAATTTTGATTCTTAAAATACTGGCTGTATCTGATTATTTATGTCTGATTTGTTAAAATATCAATAGTTGATCTATTAAGTTGGTCAATATAAGTTATCTAGGAAATTGTTAAGTCTTGACTTTTATAATGAGTTGAGAAAACATATTATTATTTCACTTACCTGTCTAATGTCGATTTTATGATACATTGGGTCATGTTTGCATTTATACATGTATATCAAGTCGGAAGGAAATCACTTGACATGTGCAAAGAATGCAAATTAACTAGAAATTACTTCTTCGAAAACGGGTGGTCGTTGGAAACATGTTATGTGACGACTCTTATAAAGAGGAGAACCAGGGTTTAATATGAGGATTGTTGACAACATCTGACTGTTGTGACTATTAACATTTACCCAGATACACAGTGCTATAAAGGTCATCAAGATGCCACTTGTTCATTGTCCATTTAGTGATCATTAGTCTATCCGACCAACTAAATGGAAGACGTCAAATGTAAAAGTCAAGGAATCATTACGAAGCCAAGAAGTTGTAACCGGTGATTTTAATATGACATTGTGTACATTCAGGACAATATCTTCTTTATAGGGATTTACTGAAAAGTAATGGAAATATAAAATATCCGGCATTTTTACCATTACTTGACAACCGATCCTCAGATGTACTCCATTTACATTTGTATATCTAATGTGATTTCTGAAACCAGCATCGTGTGTATTTTGTTACGTATTCTCTTTTGGAAATCTCTTACAAATATGAAAATGATAAAACTTTTTATAAGCCTTTACCTGGTCTGTCTTGTCTTTTCTAAATTTTACACGACTTTAAATGGTATTAAGTTTGAATATGTACTTGATTTCAAGAAAATGTGTCGTTCACAAAATGGAACATTTGCTTTTCTGTATGGATTATCTATAGCTGAATGTATAGGGGAATGTGGAATACGGGCACAATGTGCGGCTTTGAATTATAAAAGAAGAATACATAAATGTGAACTTTTTCCTTCAGTAACAGAAGGCGAGGAAAAGATTGGAGACTGTATATACACACCTGCATCAGACATCAAAGTTATTCCGGTATCTTATAGTTTTAATTCATATATTAGAAATGAGCAAAAAGAAAAACTGTTTTTATTTAACTATTTTACTTGTTTTAAATTGTTGCTAAAATCATTTTGACATTAATAGCGTCACAAAGCAAAAGCAACCTAACAACTAAATGAACGCTGTCTTAGCATGTTTTTGTCCAAAATGTTCCATTCAACCTGAACTGAAAAATAGAGAAAAGGAATGTTAATGAAGGAAATATTTATAATATAATATTGTTAGACGGGATGTTCAAGTGTTAATTTAATCATTACGAGCTACACATTACAGGCTGTATACCCACAAAAACCCACTGTACTTGAGTGTTAACTTTATATCTTTAGGAGCAAAACACACATAGCCCATTTAGCCTAAAATATGGGTTTACATAAAACAAACCACAAAGTTTTGTTTTCCCAATTTAATAACAACTGAAGTGACCACATATCAATATTGTTGAGATAAGACTTATTTTAAGACACTGTTGAAATAGATTTTCCTTTTCGGTTTTTATCTTTAACCATTTAGAACATGAATTTTAATATATGCAAGCACTGCCTTTAATGTGTTCATTTTACAAACTGTAGATAAAAGTGTGTTTTCACAATCATTTGCTAGATAAAAAAGCATTTTCAGCTAGAATCACGGGGTGGGGTGGGGGCTGGATGAAGTTACAAGAAGGGTGTAGTTCTCCTGATTATTTGTCAGGAGTTCTTCTAATAACTGTCACAGAGTTCCTGAAAAACGTTATGGATTTCGTATTAACAGTTCCTCCCCCGTAAGAAACGTATTTTTTGATAATTACAAACAAAAAAGTGATAAAATATTACCACGTCCACACAGAAAATCATTTCGATTTATGTTCAAGAGAATTATTAAACGTGATTTACATTCAAAAATGGGTAAATTTTTTATCCTGCAATAGATTGCTGATATATCACAGAAAATTTTGTCTATAAAAAGAGACAAAGAACTATATCTTGGTAATCCGGTTAAAAACTGACATTTTTATAGTAAGTGTTACCTGCATCAAGCTGTTTTACTCCATACATGTTAACGGATGGGATAATAGTGGTATAAAAATCTGTGTCAAGTGAAACTGTTACAGTTATCTCATGGAAACTGTAAATTTTACTTTTATGTTTTTAATACTGCACGTTTGTAACGTCGCTTTTCATTGGATAATATTGACTTTTATATAGATTGATATAATTATACGACCGCTTTCAAATTATGAAGAATTGTCATTATTCTTTCTCAAAATGGAATTTTGCATATTAAAAATTCCTTATAAAGATTCCTGAAAGGTTATATGGCCGTATTTAAACGGCTGTTTGCAATATAACACTTACCTACCGTTTATATAGGGCCAAATTATTATTATTATTTATTATTATTATATACCAAACTTCTTAGGCACTTTTTTCATGCACATTAACACGTTCAAAAGTACTGTACAGTATAACCAAATAAATGATACAATATTTGAAAGAAAAAAAAGCAACAAAAGAAACAAATTAAAACATCAATATCGCTCAAGTCACAAATTCAAATCAAATGTAGTTTAAAAAAAAAGTTAAAAAGACCCACATAAATAATAAAATTCAGGTAAGAACCTAAAAAATAGTCAGTCAAAATAAAACCTCTAAAATAAGTGAGTTTTAACAAGTTAAAGTTTTAACAAATAACCTGTCAAAAATCTTTGTATAACTAATAATTTATAATTTTATGTATGATGATTATTTAAAATGAGAAAACAAAAATACAATAAGAGAATAAAAATAAGCTACTTCATAATTCTTTATTGCAGAATCCATGCAGCGAATGCGAGTATGGTAAAAGTTGTGATAAAATCAGCCACCTTTGCAAATACATTGGTAATATACCGAATTTCAATTTATTTCATATTTCTATGATCTTGACCACTTTATGCTGCCTGTTTTAGCTGTTTGTGATACGCATGGCTGATAACTTCTGTTATCCTTTCAAAATTTCATTTTATTTAGATTTTCCCATTATTTTTCCGTTTACGGAACATCCATCTGTACTTGGGTACAATTTGCAAGTTAGATACTGTATAATACTAAAGTTTACACACTTCATTAGATGCAACCACAACAGTACAAATAATGAGTAATCTAATAACATCAGAGGTTACACATAATCCTTTGTATAAAATTAGAGACCACACATTAGTGTATCGAATTTAAACATTTTCTATTTCTTTACATTGAAGCTTCCACATGGTATTAGATACCAAACTTGCTTATATTTGTGAAACTGATTAAATTAAGCGAACTAAACCATATATTTTAGACAACTTGATAAACTAGTATGATATATACACAGAAACTACGTTTTGTGAAGAAATACTTTTTAATCAATCAATCAATTAACCATTTTTAGATTGTGGAACACCTTCTGTTCTCCCATTTGGAACGGTGTATGCTAATATGACAACACATGGTGCAGAAGCTGTATACACTTGTCATTTTGGTTACGATCTTAAGGGAGATGATTTCAAACGAACGTGTGTTCAAGGAACTTGGAATGGAACTAAACCTACCTGTTCACCAATACGTAATTACCACATTACTGAATCACTTTTTTTTTTACTTTTGAAGACATATGAGTATCTGATAATGAGGTCAAAATATAAATTGACAATATCAAATTTTAGCTTGAATGTTTGAGTCTGGTACAAATAATTTATATCTGATTTGCTTATTAAGAAGTCAAAGTAATTATAATTTATAAGTTACCTCCTGCAAGGCACAGTATAATACTGTAACATATATATATATAGTTATTTCTTATACGTTACTTTTAATGTTTAACAAATATTACGGAAGTAAATCAGAATCATTTTATAATCAAATGTTGACATGTTTAGTAGAAAATTTTCTTTTTGTTATCAGCAAACGTGGCATGCTATGTTGAAAGTTTCCAATACAAAGGGATTCGTAATTCAACAATAAATGGTATACTATGCCAGCGATGGGATTCGCAGAACCCACATAAGCATTTTAGAAACAATGTTAGTACATTTCCCGAAGAAACCTTACAAGAGGCCGAAAATTACTGCCGTGATCCAGACGGTGAAGGAACCCCTTGGTGTTACACTATTGATCCAAATAAAAGATGGGATATCTGCGAGGTGGAAAAGTGTTGAGCGCCACTTGTGTTTGCATTTATATACAGATGCTAAGAATTAGAATTTGTTATTAAAGAAAATAGGAAACACTTCAAATAACACGAATAATACTGTTAACGTCACATTTCTTTCATCACGTATAACTTTTATATTTAGAACAGTTTATTCATTCACCTATAAACAATTATTTATTCTCATACCGGTAGTTGTTCACGGGTCATCGAAACGTAACTTCTACATAAATTTTACTGTGACACCTACCGTACTTTTTATAATTTTACAAATGCATCGCAAAAAGTTTTACACCTGATCGAAGCATTAGTTAAGATCACACTAAGAAGCAACAAAATCACCTGTTGACAAGCAACATCGCCTTTAACAGAGGATGATAATGACTTTTATCAGCATTTTATCTCAAACAGAACCACTCATATTTACTTATTTCTCACAATATTCTACAAAACTACTTTTATTTATTAATCAATGTAAAACATATTCAACCCGATAGAGTAGAGAAAATAGGCAATGGCATGCAACACCTGTCAAACTTACTTCACTTACTGGTTTGGGACCATAAACCGGACACTTTTTGAACATTTTTCCTTACGTTATAAAGAAGCGGGTCTTATGGGAAATAAAATATCAAGCAAATTGTGATTTTTCAAATAACGATCCGGGGTTTACTTTAAATCCAATTTAAATGTTGGTGTTATCTAATTTATTTAAAATACAGTTTGTATATAAAAGGAAGTTATAGGGTATTTTATATAAGCATTTATTTGGTAAACTTATATAAAACTGAGTCACATGTTCGTGGAGTAAGCAAGACAGGAACAGCCTGAACCCTTATTTGCCTAGATTGTCATCCAGTGATAAAATAAGTATTAAAGTAACAAAAGGAGGAGAGCAAAGTAGAAACACAATAAGAGAGGGTAACGGCTATTTTTGAAAAATTAACATCAATGAAGCTCTATCTAATGTACGTTTTGCTCTTCATAAAAATAAGAAGATTAATTCCCATGCTAGTGAATATAGTTTTTTATTGTTTATAAGCAATAATCGTCACCACAAAAACACCTTTTAATGATTTATTAAAAGTATCCATTGCACTGTTGAACAAAATGGTTTATTGATTGGTATGAAATAAAAACGATGTCATAAAATTTCAATTCTAACAGTTTTTCAATAATATATAAAAGACATAAAATGTGGATAACGTTTAAAAACCTGCCTTTGAAATGTTATTTTATTTTTATATTTCAAAGGATGATTTAGAACAAAACAAGATAAATCATAGGCCAGATGAATAAGTGATAATGACATTGATCAAACCATGTTTTGTGGATGGTTGAATATTCTAAAAACGTTTAATGAAAGACTGTGTCGATGATAACTATTGAAGAAACGAACATTTTATCAATTTTCAGAAGCATTCCGAATTCACACTTGGATGTCAAATCATTTAACGTTCTCAAAGTATTACCGGGACAAAAATCGTAGAAATGTATGAAGTTGGCGATAAAATTAAGTATTACAAAGGAATCCAAAGAAAACTTTGGTCGTTAGATTCATTAATATTATTTTCCAAGAGCACTTTTGTAAAGCAAAACTAAAATTTAAAAAAAAAAAAACTTTCAAAAATTAGTAAATATTTACGGAACCATAATCTAAGAGCATTTAATATTTATAACTTATAACTTCTTACTTATTATTTCTACCTATAATTTATCATTTTTATTCATGCACACAAAAGTGGTCAAGATTGTATGCTTTTATATAGAGGTTCTTTTCATGATATCAGAAAAGCATGTAGACTGGCCGAAGTGTAAGAATCTTAAACCTGATCAACTTTAAAAACAACTTTTCGAAATGAAGCATGCTGTTTTTTGTATCTTGTATAAATGGGCTTACATAAAAAACTATTCTTTTTTAATGTTGCTGGCAGTTTAAGAAATGTTAAAAATTTGGTTGTTCCGGACATACGTCTGTTTTATCTTTCCTATTGTTTGTACAGAAGAAGACTGTAAAGTCGGAACATGTTAATAAAATAGATTTTTAATCCTACTAGATTATCTCTGTCTTTTCAACATTCTTAATAAATTTTCCCTCGCAATGGCACATTTCTTTTACCACAAATCATAGCCCATTATAGTTATCTCTATCGTGGTAAACTATACGTGAATTGCCAGTAAATTACTTATAAACAATTAGAGAAAGTTAAAAATCTAATTACATGTATTTATAAGCCATTTAAGTTGTATTGCATAATCCATATATCATTGGAAATACTCCTGAAGCCGACTATGTAGTATTAAATAATATCAAGAAGGTAGAATTGTCTCATTGAAACTCTAAAGAAATGTGTGAGCCATTTGGTGGTTCTATTCTAAATAATGCATTCCCTTGTCTTGAGATTTTCTGAATAAAGAAAAAATTAACACGTACTTATTTTGTAATATTCGAAGTTAAAAAGACTAGTAATAGTGCAGAATCTCTATATAGTTATGAAGTTACCATGAAAACGTATATTATAACTATCTTTACACTACTCCCCATCACACAGATAGGACAATCGTGCATAATTTAATGATATAAACGAGACTTACGCGTGGTATGATTTCATATATGACGTCAATAAACCAAATGACGTCATGAAAATATACTTACAAATACGCTTAATGTTGTTCAACATAAACATATTCTTATCTATTCTCTTTTTTATTAACATGTTAGAATAGAACAGAACAGAACAATTATTTCACTTGTACAACATGTACATCGTGCACATAAATAACATATTTACACAACACAATTATAGTCACACAATCTATTTAAAACAAAACAAATGTTGTATCAACAAATGAGTTATTAAGAGGATGATTATGATTATATATCTTGACTCATTTGTTTATTTCTACGATTAAAAGCAATCTTACTAAATTTACAAAGTTTAACAAGAGTATCTTTTTCCTGCAATTTAACAATTCGATAAGTTTATTAACATGTTAGAATGGAAAGATATATTATATTCCTACACATTCGAACTTGCACTGTTCATAATTATACAATCCTTATTTTCAAAAGGTAACATATTGATTTAAAAAGCTTGTTGGTCGGTAGGTCGATTGGCCTGTTCACTTCATGGTTTCCGGACGATAACTACAGTTCGGAATGAGTAAGTTTAATAAACCTTTTCAACTGCTTGAATTTCGATCATAGCCAATAATGATTCAAAATTATCTCAATGTATTTTCCTGAGTGTACAGTACACGCCTACTAAACGGTGGCTCTTTCACATTTTGGTGATTTGTTTAAATGAGAGCCATCGACAATTCCGTTGCAGAGCCCTCGATGAAAACAAGTCTGAAAGAGGTACGAAATTTAAGTAAAATTATCTATTTCACCTAAACCACATAATGTACTGGTTGCAGCCTGCTCATGATAGTTTTTTATATGAAATTTAACCCTGGCCTTATTGGCGTACGTCTTTCCGAAAATCTTTTTTGTATCCCCTTATTCATATCGAGATTCCACCTGAGATTTACATAAATTTCAAAATGAAAAACTGAAACTTTACCGACTAAAAGTAAAAAACTATTTGTGTGTGCCTAATCTGTTAATATTTTATACAAAGAGGTTTTACTTCTTTTTTTAATGAATTCGAATAATCAAAGTATTTTATTTCAATATGTCACCACAATGATACGATGCATAAGAAATTGTACATGTTAATCAGTTACGAATACTCCATCATAGTATCACAAAATGAATGCTATTGTTGGCTCCATCACATTTTCGAGGGCTCATTCACATTGCCGATGGCGCTAGCACCTTGTCGATGGCTCAATCACAATAATAAATATGTGATTATTTGGTTTTAAACTAAGTTCTGTAAGTAAGTGTTTGTGTTGGCCAAGGAGGAGGTTGGAACAATGCTATATGCACGATTTAGTGGGCCAGCATGTACTTTACAGTAGGGAAATCACTCAAAATGTGTCTCCTCGTAAAAGAAAACTCACAAGGTTATATTTGGTAAAAGTTCTAGCAACGTCATTTCAGGGTATTTCTAATCGAAACTGCACTCAACATGGTGAGAAAAATGTTCTACGTGGCATGACATTCTTCGATTTTTGAAAAACAAGCATGATCTTTTTAAATTGATATTTTTACTAAAATTTCGTACCTCTTTCAGACTTGTTTTCATCGAGGGCTCTGCAACGGAAGTGTCGATGGCTCTCATTTAAACAGATCACCAAAATGTGAAAGAGCCACCGTTTAGTAGGCGTGCTTTAGTTATAACTCTAGTTATAGATAAGACACAAACCCCTCATGAATCAATGTTTAAATAATGACAATTGGACAAAAAGTGATTATCAATATGAAGAATACTGGTTTTAAGATGTATAAAAGCAACCGATGTTAACATTATTGCATTTTAGTACTAGTACATTAATTTTATACAAAGAGTTCTGAATTATTATAAACAAAGTAGCAAACAGATTGTTTAAAAATGTCTTAATGTACATGTTGAAACTTATAAATTATATCAAATTTAGGTATTGGTAAGTAGTTTACTTGTATAAAGATTTCTGCGCATACGAGAGGTGTTCAAATATGAATGCAACTTGATCAATTTTCAGAAGTACTTAAAAACATTGTCAAAAATAATTACCTCAACCCTTCAAAATACTTACCATCATGTGATATACAAAGTTTTAGTCCTTTAATTCAAATTTTAAATGCGTTTTCATAATCTTTTTGAGGTATTCTGTTCAGACACTCGAAAATAGCCGAACCGAGATTTTTTATCAGCAAGGTGTTTTTGAACCTCGGAAATAGGAAAAGAAGTCACAAGGGGCAAGATTTGCTAAATAGCGAAGATGAAGAATCTCGACAACCTTTCCTATTTCAGTTATTCTTGTACGATGGCCCCTTTGTGTGACGAAGCATTGTCATGAAACAATCTGTCACCACGGAGACCAGTTGCTAATTGGCAAGTTTTGAAATATTTCATTAATTTATAAAGTACTTGCCTTTGTTAAACTTGGCATGTACAGATTTACCCTTTGGTACGGCAATTTGAATAGCAGGACCTTGATTGGTAAAGAAAATTAAATACATGACCTTTTTGATGCTCATGGTGCGTTTGCTATGCAACATTTTTGACGTCCTTTAGTTGGCCATATTTTGTTATGTATCTTTCGCTTGGGCTCAGAAAAGTGAACCCAGTCTCATCACCAGTGATGCTATTTGCGAAAGAGCGATTGTTGTATTTTAGGGAACTGTTTCAACAATAGTTTGGATATTCTAACTCGAGCAAGTTTTTTTGTAAAGAGATGTGGTAACCATCTAGCACTTATCCTTCTCATCTTTTAATCACCTCTGAGAATTATATGAGCGGCTCCTACAGAGGGCTATATACCTAGTTGTAAATCTTGCATCAGTAGGAATCAAATCGTTTTCAAATCTAGGAATCACAACTATTTTAGTGATTTTTGGCTATTTTGAGATGACCTCTCGTTGCCATGGTAACAGGAAATGTAAGACTGAGTATGCCGGTACAAAGGCTGTGGTGCAATTAACATTTATGCCAAGTTTGATGAATATTAAAGCATCATTTATAGTGTCATAGCAATCTGAACTTGTAACAGAAGGTTTTTCAATAAAAATAGCCTTTTTTTCACAAAATGCCCATGCAGCAATGGATTAACTAATAATTAATCTTTTAGATTTCATCAAATCATTTTTGTTGCGTACTGATAATTTTTAAAGTTGTTGCGTACTGATAGAATTAATTCGTTCGTTATTGCTTTTTTGCATTATGCAGAATACGCATGCGTGAAATGCATGCAAAAAACACCGGTTTCTGTGGAATTATCATATTACGCATTTGAATGTCAACAATCTCTTGTAAATGAACATCAGTAAAATGTAAAAAAGTAATAAGTTAGAAGTACAAAAAATAGATAGAAAGATTTTATTGACGTATACATATTTGTACATAGTGAAATATGCATAATTCATGAATTACAATGTCATGGAACGATGATATTGATAACAAACATTTGAACATGGAGAATGATTTTAAGGAAATAGTTCAAAAGTTCATAATTATTAATAATAGATAATGTAACTGTGTCTGATAAAATATAAAAAAACTACAAAACTATAAAAAGCCTTCATCACTTATTTTAAGAAATGAGCCTTACAGATATCTTACTTCAGTCTTGTCTTCTTCAATGTATTTTGACACTTAACATTTCGTAACTGTTTCTGCTTTCCGTTGTGTATTTTATCATTTAAAGTAAACAACCTAGGTCTAATTACCTGCTTCTAATATATCCAAGCTTGGCGAAGGAAGACCTGCTTAAAATGCACATTTTCTTCCGAATTTGTTGTAAGATCTTAAATAAAGCGCTTAAATT